TGATTGATTTCAGGGAGGAGTAAAAACAGCCTGTATCTATGAAGATGGAGAAATTGCTCTGGAGTTGCTTCGCCATGTGGAAATGTGACCTCTGTGTTACTACCAAGGTCAGTGAGACATACCAAGATATACTGCATATATTAATTAGTTACAAATGATGAAGAAAGAGTATTTTATAATAGTAATATTTGGTTATAAGCACTTTAACATTTAATTATATAAATTAATTTTATAAGCTCTTTAATTACATAAGCGGTTCAAAATTTGAAGATGAATCACCTGAAATCTAAGGCTTCCAAGATTATATATGGTCGGTGATACTGCCTTATATATTCTTAAAGGGAGAATCCAAAAACATTATGTGGTGAAATACAAATCACAAACAAGCCAAAAATGTGCCAACTTCACAATTTCAGAAATGTTTGTGTCATCAAACAATCTTATTAAATATACATTTCAGTAACCAAGGAAAGATGCCTTTAGCTAAGAATGTTGGCAGTAGTTGCTCTTATATATACTCACAGTCTGTAGCTCATAACTGTACAATGCATCACTGACTACCTTTATCCAAGTAAGAGAGAGGCAGAGTAACAATACTTTCAAGTTTTCTTCTGCCTCAAGCACCCATCCTCACAATCTAATCATGCAGGCAACTATCTATCATAGAAATAGACTCTCTAAGCAGCAATATGGTTTTGCATCATTCCTCTATACAGTTCCTAGATGGAGTAAACAAAGTAAAAACTGAATTGCACTCATGATTTGTTTTGCTTTTTCAGCCAGTGAGATACTGAAATATAGAAAAGAGTATATTCAAGAACCAAAAGTAGGCCCACATCACACCTGGTGGGTTTGAGTGGTGCATATTGGCTAACTAGGGTTATTGCTTTAGCAATGCAAGAGATGATGTCTTACAAGGCTTCTGCTTCATGCCTCATCAGCCACCACTTATTTTTTTTTCCAAACTGCAGGGGTAAAAATACTTTCTTCCTTAGTACTATGATTTAAAAAAAAAAAAGCCTTAAAATTATGGTGGCCATTATTATTATTATTATTAGTAGTAGTAGTAGTAGTAGTAGTAGTAGTAGTAGTAACAGCAGTCTTTTTATCCCATAATGCTAAGAATGACAGATTCCAGAGAACTGCATTTTAGGAAAACAACAATCATTGCTATAACCACAGTTACAATACAAAAGGCACACTGGACAGTATCTTGACAAGAGCTCCTTCAACTCTCCGACAAGGCCAAACTAAAAATCTGTGTTGTTCACACTCAGATAACTTATGACTGAAGTATGGAAATGCGCGCACACACACGCACACACAGGTAGTCCTTGCTTAATTATGGTAATTGGGACCAGCAATTCCATTGCTAAGCGACATAGTTGTAAAGCACAATGTCACGCCAACTTACAGCAGCAATTCTGGCAGTTCCAGTTGCCGTTGTTAGGCAAATCCTGCATGGTCACAGCATCTTGCCATCACATGATCACCATTTGGGACCTCCTGCCAGCTTCCCCATTGACTTTGCTTGTCAGAAGCCAACAGTGAATGTCACAAATGGTGATGACATGACCGCATGACACTGTGGCCATCATAATTGTGAGCCAGTTGACAAGCACCTGGGTCACAATCACGTGCCTGCAGCATGCTGCAATGGTTGCAACTATGAGGAATGATCATAAGTCCCCCTCGTTCAGGACCCTTATAACTTTGAATAGTTGCTGAATGAGTGGTTGTTCAACAAAGACTCTGTGTGTGTGTGTGTGTGTGTGTGTGTGCATCTGCTTTAAATGTATGTATGTATGTATGTATGTCAAGGTTTACTATAACAACCAATCACTTTAATACTTATTAACTCTTTTTCTTAAACTCTGACCTTCATCACAATAAGTATAAACAAATTTAATAACTCTTCATCCCTTATAGGGTTAAAGAGATATCTCTTCATCCCACATCCCGTCCCTTATCTATAAGCAAATCCACGAAACATCAACTTTTCAATCCTGGTGTCAGGAAAAGGTCCATAAAGGGTTGCCAGAACTTTGTAAAAAAAAAAAAAAAGTCTTATTTTAACCTTGATCAAATAAACCATGTTTATATTCATTCCTTTTACTTCTAAGAGCCTTAATCTTTAATTCAATCAAGTATTGTCATAGGAATTGATTTCTCTTCAATTCTTCTTTATCCCATTGCACAGATTTCTTCAAGGCTTTAACAAGCCTCTTCTATAGGTCCTATAAGAAAACATTTTTCAGGTCATTCTCTTGGTTTATCATTTGTATTTCCCTTTTAATTTTAAAATTTCAGCCAGTTTCTTTTGTATATCCAGTAAAGTGTCCTTTTCCAAATTGTTCTCTTGGCCTGTCATTTATAGTTCTACTTTCGGTACTTTCTCTGTCTTGTCAGAAAACATTTGTTCCACATCTGTCATTCCTTCATTATCATCTTTTAGACATAGTCTATCCATAGAAGTAAACACAATTACTGACAGAGTTGATACTGTAGTTACTAATTTCTGCCTCCATTCTTCAAAGATCTCCTTTAATATTTTTGATGTTATAACATTTTGTGTCATTTTGTAAGTCCCAATATTAACTGACATCAAGAACAGGCTCACATTTCTTTTTCTTCTGCTTAAAACCTTTAGTTCCCTCTAGTGTTGAGTTTCTAAAATAATCAGTTATCTTTTGTTATGGCTTGCGACAGACAGAATAGCTAAAATAAGTCTATTTCCCATGAGAAGCTATTTGTTTTTTATAATTAATTCCAAAATCTTATAGTAAAAGTCAATATTCCAATTGTTTCTAAATCCTTAATCCATTTATAGCTTTCTTAGATCAAAATCTTATTTAGCTTTTTGCTAAATTCAAATTTTTGCTTATTTCAAATTCTTTAAGTTCTTATGCTTATATTATTTTTTCTTCTATTCAAAGTTGAAGATAAACTCACCCAATTAAGACCTTTCAATCTTGTTGTTCCAAAGGTCTCTAATAGCTTTAAGATGGTTAATAGGCAATTTCCAAAAGTGATTAAAAAGTGAGGCTAGCGAACCCAGTGTCCTTTAAAAAGCTCTACTGTGGCTGTGAGCCTGATGCCTTCCCTTCACCTCCTGGTGCTCAACTCTGCAGGAGACTGCTGCCCTGCAGTTTCCTTCCAAGGACCAGCCATCCAGAGCACATATTGCTTGGTTACCAGGGAAGAGTTTCATCTTGTTATTTCTGAGGAAGTGGACAGGATCCTTTGGGCTGTGCTTTAGATCCGTGTCCCATTGGCTGGTCAAGGCCTTCTGGGAAGTGATATGTGATTCGATCCATGTGGTGGTGAATGCTTCTTTGAGTGAATGTTCCACCTGCCTTGAAAAAAGAGGTGGCCCATCTTCTTAAGAGACCATCACTGGATCCAACAGATGTGGACACTTTCCACCTGGTCTCCAACTTTCCCTTTTTAGGCTTGCAGCTCCAAAGAGTCCTGGATAAAATAAATTTAGACTATG